GCTTTTCATTTATTGATAATTTATTTCACAAGTAATTTCGATCTCAATTCTTAATTTTTAGTTTGATGGAGTTGATCAATTTGTGTAATAAGCTATTTATATAACAACTTTTTATTTTATACAAAATAAAGTTTCTAAAATTCCTTGAAATGTAGATTTTTATCTTTATAATTTTTATAAACTATTATTAATTTTTAAGTTTATTTTTATGGTTGAGTATACAACAGTTATTTTTTTATATGTAAATTTTATGGCTGCTATTTCAATAATCTATATTTTTAGCAGAAATATGTGTATTAATATATATTGGTGCTAGAAATGCCTAACTTTTTACACCTGTTTTATCAGAGAACGTTTGCACTTTTTTCTTCATTTTAATGTGTCATCAGATCTTGTAAATGTGTATCCACATTTGTAAAAGAAATTCATACAATACATTTTAAATGCAACACAGCTGTATATATATATATTATTTACTGTATATTGTTGTATAGCTAATAAATTTATGAAGTCTCGTTAATGTTGCGTTGTGGTATCTGGAATTTTAGAAATTTACTCTGGAAAGTCTGGAAAACTCAGGGAATTTTTTTTGGTCTGGAGAGTGGCCACCCTGTCATAGCATTATCAATTTTTTCCAGTTTCTCACTCACTGAATTGAAAAAACATACACTTTTAAGTTACAATTACTTATTAAAATTACTTTATTCACTTCGTTTGTGATTTTAAAAAATTTATCAAATTAGATATTAGAGTCACCTTCCATAAAAAGTGTACTCTTTGTTTGTAATAAAAATAATGTCCTGGTATTATGAAATTTTACAACCTATTTATGAAGCTTTTTATAAAGGATTTTTTAAATTATTTTGAGACTGCTTAATACATTTTTAATTAAATAATAGATTTTTTATTAAATAATAGTTCATAAATTAACAGCCTTCTTTAACTTATTAATTTCTTATTGTCCGTAGGTTTTCAATCTAATTTAAAATGCGTTATGAGTAGGACTGGGCTATAAATCGATATATCGCGACATATCGATTTAACGCCTATATCGTCAGGTCGATACAGCAACTTTCGTTCCATGTGATGCATCAGAAATCTGATTTAAGCCGTCGAGTAAAGAAGACGAACGCAAAACAATATAACGATACAAGACACGCAAGGATCTCCTCTTACATTCCGATGCCAACTCGTGCTGTGGAAGACGATGTTCGTTTTGTTGAAATGATCTTGATTGATGAGTGGTAGAATCAGAACCATAGTTTTGAGAATATATATCGTGATCTCGCATGTTCGTTTTCGCGCCTCATAGTCTTTGTTTTGTCGCGACTTGATATCGTTTCTTATAGATTATTTTCAGTGGGACTGACTTTGTGATCGCCGTCGTTACCTTGTTCTGAACGTTATCTATTATTGAAACGAATATATAAAGAAGTGTTTTTTAAAACAAAACTTTTATTTTTAAATGTGAAAATTAATTTTGATATTATAAATTTAAGTAATTTTTTACATTATTGAATTTATTACAATCGGAAATCTAATTTAAGGTGCCCATAAAGAATTAAATTACAAAGTAATTACATTTGTTAGGCTATATTTTACTTTATTTTAATTTATTAAAAACTTTTAGGATAAAACTTCGAATAATTTAATGGGTTTTTATTACTGATTTTAAATTTATAAATTTTTAGTTGTTTTTATTTTTATAAATAAAATTATAACAAAACTTATTTTTCCTCTTTTGGATTTGGACATTACGACCTCTGAGAATCAATACATTTCTGAAAGCTCTTATGAATGGTACAATTATGTTCAGATTTGAACCCAAATTACAATAACAAAACTGCATAGAATATTAGGCTTGTTCACACATCGCCTCATAGTCATAACATAAGCGGAGGGATACACCGGAAATTTTCTAAATTTCTTCCGGTTTAAGGACGCTTGTTATTGTTTACATTAGACCACCCATCCAT